ATAGACAACCGCAAGTGCATACACTAAAGCACGAGCATACGTGAAGACAACAGCACGTGCATACACTAAAGCATAACATAAATATAGACAACAGCAAGTGCATACTCTAAAGCACGAGCATACATGTAGACAAAAGCACGTGCATACACAAAAGCACGAGCATACATATAGACAACAGCAAGTGCATACCCTAAAGTACGAACATACATATAGACAACAGCAAGTGCATACACTAAAGCACGAGCATACATATAGACAACAGCACGTGCATACACTAAAGCACAAGCATAAATATAGACAACAGCACGTGGAGAAACCAAAGCACGATTACACATATAGACAACAGCACATGCATACACTTAAACACGAACATGAATATAGACAACAGCACGTGCATTATACTAAAGCCCGATCATACATATAGACAACAGCACATGCACGTGCCTACACTAAAACACGAGCATACATGTTTATATAGACAACAGCACGTGCCTACACTAAAACACGAGCATACATGTTTATATAGACAACAGCAGGTTAATAACCATATACGTGTACCATTACCAATTCACAAACAACAACATTAACATAAATCCAAATTTCAACATATAAGGTGAACGCGTAAAGTATAACCATTAGAACAGACATACATATTAACACAATCATAGTCAGTAAAACAGACGTATGTGGTAACACATATAACAACAACGCACATCCAAAGGGGTTCATACAAGACACACAAGAATCTAGAACATTGAATCATTTACAGAGAAAATCAACTTTAATAAGATTTAAATTAGGGAGAGATACGCTAGTAGTAAAGTGCAGTTGAGAAATTCTTCATACAAAAACACACTGATTGGGTGATTTTCGTAAGACTAAATATAAACCTGTATGTACACAGTCCTTGACCCTGTGAAGAACATTCCGATATAGAGCAATAATTTGATCTCTGAGGGTATACGTCCTGTATATCTTGGCATGTTTATTGTAAACAGTAGTACCAAAGATATTTGGATAAACGGATAACTGCCCAGGGGTTCACGGTAGTCATTACCCCAATAATCACCAGCATGTTGCCGGGTGCTGTGAGGTGAGCATGATATTTGTTTTCGGAAAGAAATTGACACCATCACGGTAAAAGTACTGCTGTACGTTCACGTGCCAATGGTCAGTAGGCCATTAGCGAGACTATTCTGGTCACTATACGTAGATGTAGAAGGTCGAACATGGCAGGTGTGAATTTTGATAACCCCCACACAAATCGATACTCAATTATTATATCGATGTACAGTGACAACTCGTGTAAAGGACTTCCTCATAAGTATAATTATATTGTTAATTGCATTGCGGAGTTCATTACTATATAGTTAACTGCATTGTGGAGTTAGGGCAATTACTATCTCTTCCGGGAGATTATTTAGGGGATAGTACGTTGTTTTGAGTGGCTTTACTGGCGATTGGAACATGGAATTTGGTTTGAACTCGAGACCGATAGGTCTGCTAGCCTTATCAGCGGGATTTCGCTGACGCCATATTGGAGACATTGAGATAATTCAATCCTTTGACCTCTTGAACAAAGGTCAAAATCATGTTTTTCATATATTTTTTTATTGCTTCGTACCAACATCGTCCACAATATTATAAATGCAAACCTTTAAGTCCAGGAGGAAACACTCAGAAATAAATGAAGACTAGAAGAGCTCTGGTGCAGTTAAGAATAGCGCATACCAATACATAGATTGTAATAACGATTAATACGATTAACTATACGATATTTTTTATTCCGTCTTTGCATATTGCAGAGTTATCTTCTCTTGAGAGTAGGGATTGATTGTTACGTCATTGGTTCATGTGAGGAAATTACGTCCTTTTCTCAAACATTGATGACGTTACTCTCACAAACAAATGACGTAACAATCAATACCTGCTCTCAAGAGAAGATAACTCTGCAATACGCAAAGACGGAATATGTCTATCTCAGGACAAGAAACGTTCAAACAGATTTTCATTCAAGTATCGAAGAAATTAGAAAAGGCATTTTGCACCGGATCGTCAGTGTAATGTTACCATGCGCGAACAGGAACTAACTCTTAAATTATATTTTGAACAACACAGCACTGAAATATTACAGTAAAACCACGTTTACTGTCTAACCCGTATCTGGTATATCTTCTGGCGCCATTATCTGATACAGTATTTAAGCCATAATGATACTATTAGTTCAGTATGATTATCATACCTTTATAAATGTCATTTCCGACAGACAAAACTAAATAGCATTCTGATTGTTCTTCAGTGTTCTTCCAAATGCCCAGACACTTTCTGTACTCATTATTGAAGACAATGAAAAAAATGCTTACGTAGCGCTTTTATGGGAAAGCCAACAATTGTTCTCGTGTGTTAAGATGTGTTTTGGTGTGCCACCAACTAAAATCCACCAGGCAAGCCATAGACAAATTACTGAAAGCGACAGTAATTCTCCGACAATTGACCTTTTAGCGTATCTAAAACGAGCATGCTATTAAGTCAATGTCCATCGCGGATCGTTTTATAATGCCGCCGAGGTCGTGTCGTGGTAAAGTAGACCTTATACAATACATCGACTCGTGCGCTATGTAGATCTAGCCCTGCAGGCTTCATGAACATTCATAAAATTTAAGAAGCTCCTTCAACCGGCTTTTCCTTAAATCTTAGGAGATTCCTTTACTTACATGTCATGAAGCTTCCTTTACTTTATACCTCCCTTAAATTTGAGGCACCCTTCAAATTTTTAAGGCAACGTGAACCCAGCCTTTAATCGCGAAGGAACTCCTTAGTTAGGTTAACGAACGTTCCTGAAACGCATTTTAAGGAAAAAGTAGACTGAGAAATTCCTTTACGATTTTAGACGAAGGAATCATTAAATGAAACCGTGGTCTTGATTTTCAATGTCGAGAACTTTTCTGGTTATGATAATGATTCTTCCATGTTCATATGTGTATTTTTTTTCTTTGACACCAAATGACTCAACACAGAGCTTTATTATAATGGCAAACATTGTAATGTCGCCGATTTCGAGATAAGCTGTGAATTCTGACATTGTGATATGTTTCAACGGGAATTTACATATATAACCGCTTTATCAGCTACTGATACAGCGTGAGGAGACTCGGACGGGTTCGTCTCTACCCGGCCATCAGATAGTAAACAGTGATATCAGACAGACCCTGTACGTACAGATACATGTATATATAGCACATACACCCCTGTGCAACTCATGTGTACCCATGTGTAATAATGATTTTAAAAAAAACAACGTTTCCGTAGTTATACGGTTATACTGTACCGAAACACAATAACAGTGTAAAAGTCTGATGTAGAAAAAGCCAGACAATAGAAAGTTTGATATAATTTTAACTAATTTTGTTTATCTTACAACTACATTGAAATGAGGAGTGAAAGCATTTGAGATGTTCGGTGCACGACCTATATGTATATCACTTTGCATATATTGCCTAAACACCTATCGGATATATTGTGCGATATACACAGTACGTCTTCTCTAACTAGGGTCGTTAAGTACTGCAGGTGTAACCGTAGTCCAAACTCAGATTCCCTTTTGACTGATGTCACGGTCATTGTGGACTATTTCTCATAATAAGTGATGGTCAGTTTCACAATGTCCAAACTGATAAGCTACATTAACCTAATTCGAGACAGTCCGGACACTGGTCAAGTTCTGGACAGCTTCATATATACTACCACCAACGTTAACGAGGATGTCACTGCACTTTACCTAGACTCTCACATCAACTACCAGTGGTGATAAATTGTCCCAAACTCTTACTTTCTGTGTCTCCCACAATTATTTAATTGGTCATCCTTGGTGAATAGTTACTATAACCACGGAATTAGCTATTTAAGTCCGTGCAATGACAAATACACTATAATAAGCAAATGTCTTTCCGCTAAAATTCTTTCGTCTCTAAACTTATCCACTCACCCCCTCCCTCTCCCTGCACCCCAGGTCGAACACGCGTTAGCAAAGTCCTATTCCTAAGGTAACTTTGTAATATGAAAATTAAGCGAGGTAGATAAAAATACGGAATCATACATAATCAAATCACGTTTTCGTTAAGTTGACCAATGACTGAAGAGATGACCCCGCGCCTCACACCCCGGGGCACTGTGTAACTCTATCGCCATCACTAAAGCAAACATTAACCGCTCCTTTCATTTCGGCCACTCCAACTGACCACAGACACGCCTTCCATCTGGTCAGAGTGTGACCTTGCCCTTAATCATTGTATTATTAACATCGCGTTGACGTGACCTCGTTAACGGAACAGACTCAGCAGTACCAGCATGGGATCGGCTATAGTCAATCACGTTCCGACTAATTGTTCAACGTTTTTTATAGAATAATAAAACACATGGAAATGTTTTATCACTTTGGTCCGTCTTCACTCAGTATCTGATATAAAAAAATATATTTCTCACACGTTGGCGCAATATAACTAGTTTAATGAATAATTTTCCTTGTGGCCATTTTCCCGTCATTATTCAGTCAGTCATTCATCTTCACACCTGATGTGCAGCTGTTTCTTTATCTATATTAATCAATACGTGTATATGTGTCAAAGTTGATTGCAAACATGGGATTAATAGAAGTTCTCTACTGCAAACATAGGAGTAATAGAAGTTCTCTACTTAATAGAAGTTCTCTACTGCAAACATAGGAGTAATAGAAGTAGAAGTTCTCTACTACAGCTTTGATACAGAGCCTCCGATTACTTATAGTCATACAGCTAACTTTCCAATCCTACAAAGTCATGAACATTTTCGACCGATTCAACACGGGTAGAGACGCATCTGAACTAGTTTGACCAACAATTGTATATTAACAGTTACAAACAGACCCAGTAATTAAGGTGAACAAACAATAAGTTCCTTTAAGAAGTTAATATTTTCTCATACTTTTATAAAATATACAAACTATATATATATCATATTCTTACCCGTGCTCTCCATGTATTGATCCAAGTTGTCGGCGGACACAAATTCCCATTTTCCTACAAGAGACATTCTGACAGAAGTGAAATAACCACTATAGGGATGAGACTACTAACGATGGCCAACTTCACGAGAGTGAGTAAGGCTAGATTGCTCCGAAGGTCATATGATTGAGATTGGCGGAAACTACCGAACAAACCCGACAGATAATGCGCCTCCTCCCCGACACGTGTTCCACACATATGACTTGTACTACCTTCCACGAATTACATGTACTTTGCATTCTGAACACACTGCACGTACTTTGTACTTATATATCTGACCTCTTGTCATACACGTATACTTATGGCTTCAGTGTAAAAATTAAAAAAATGTGCAGTAGGAAATCCATGTACCGAGATACACGGTCAGTTTGTTTGTCCTCCACTTATCACTAAACCTCTTTCACCTATATCTCTACACACAAGTACGTAGGCCTACACTGGGATTACTATGAATCCACGTGTGTTAATCGAAATACATACATGTACGTTTTGTACCTGATATTGGTTTTGTCAGTAAAACATAATACAAATATATCTGTTATTTGAATAATTTTCTGCATGTGCTTTAATAACGACGATATATGATATCTGATATCACACACAGCATCGCGTTCTGAAGAAGCACGTTTAGAAGTGAGATCGTTTGTGAAATCGTGATGTAATTACTGGTAACTGCATTGTCACGCCATCGCCCAAAATGATCTGTAGGAGGTCAACAACCGACGACGGTTGTGGTATGTGGATACAGGTTTTTTTTATTATGGAATAAAGTCAGTGAATATTGAATACTCAAACTTAATAGTTTGTAGTCAATCTATTAAAATCAAGTCTATACTTATCGTTACCGCTGATTTACGGAAACATTTCATTATTTAAAACAATTATTGAAATAAAGTGCTATCATTTTAGACCATTGTAAAAGAAGTTAAGAATTTTCTATGAAATAATAGAAAAAGCTCTCGTGTGAAACTGTTACTCGGGTTCACAGTGTGAGCGTTACCAGTAACGGTGGGGAATCCCTTTCTAACGGTGCCCTCTCCCACAACGGAAAACAGCGACGTATAACGTCATCAACCATTTTGACATCAGAATCGAAAATTATCTTCGTGATGGATACAAAGGGTCTTTCAACATAGGGCTGCCAGTACTTCTGTTAAGTCAGGTTTTGTTCAGGAACTGAATTGTCCGGGTGAATCAAGTTCCTACGATGGCATATTTGACCTCGTTTCTGTATCTATTAAAAGAATAATTTATTCTTCGTTTTTTTGCCTGATTTGGAGAAGTTCTCTTTGCTTGAAAGTAACAGTTAATGGGGTCGTGACTGATCGTGGCTTGATAGTAACAGTTAATGGGGTCGTGACCGATCGTGGCTTGATTTTAACAGTTAATGGGGTCGTGACTGATCGTGGCTTAGAAGTAACAGTTAATGGGGGCGTGATTGATCGGGGCTTGGAAGTAACAGTTAATGGGGTCGTCACTGATCGTGGCTTAGAAGTAACAGTTAATGGGGTCGTGATTGATCGTGGCGTGGAAGTAACAGTTAATTGGGTCGTGACTGATCGTGGCTTGATAGTAACAGATAATGGGGTCGTGACTGCTCGTGGCTTGATAGTACCAGTTAATGGGGTCGTGAATGATCGTGGCTTGGAAGTAAAAGTTAATTTGGGCGGGACTGATCGGGGCTTGATAGTAACTGTTAATGGGGGCGTGACTGATCGGGGCTTGGAAGTAACAGTTCCTTTGGGCGTGACTGATCGGGGCTTGATAGTAACTGTTAATGGGGGCGTGGCTGGTCGTGGCTTGGTAGTAAAAGTTAATGGGGTCGGGATTGATCGTGGCTTGGCAGTAACAGTTAATGGGGTCGTGACTGATCGTGGCTTGATAGTAACTGTTAATGGGGTCGTGACTGATCGTGGCTTGGAAGTAACAGTTACTTTGGGCGTGACTGATCGTGGCTTGATAGTAACAGTTAATGGGGTCGTGACTGATCGTGGCGTGGAAGTAACAGTTAATGGGGTCGTGACTGATCGTGGCATGGAAGTAACAGTTAATGGGGTCGTGACTGATCGTGGCTTGTAACTAACAGTTAATTGGGTCGTGACTGATCGAGGCTTGGAAGTAACAGTTAATGGGTCGTGACTGATCGTGGCTTGGAAGTAACAGTTAATGGGGTCGTGATTGATTGTGGCGTGGAAGTAACAGTTAATGGGTCGTGACTGATCGTGGCGTGGAAGTAACAGTTAATGGGGTCGTGACTGATCGTGGCTTGTAACTAACAGTTAATTGGGTCGTGACTGATCGTGGCGTGGAAGTAACAGTTAATGGGGTCGTGACTGATCGTGGCGTGGAAGTAACAGATAATGGGGTTGTGACTAATTGAGGCGTGGAAGTAACAGTTAATGGGCTCGTGACTGATCGTGGCTTAGAAGAAACAGTGAACAAAGAGAACACAGACGGGGACTTTTCATGACTCGGAAGAGTTGGTGAACAATGATCATGACTTGTTTTTTGGAAGTGAAGAAAGTACGTAACTTTTGTTGACTTGGACGGGGCAATGAACAAGGATCTTGCTTTTTCCTGATATGGAGATAGCAATGCAGGAATATGGAGTCATACACAACCCGTTATCTAGTTCAGATATATTTAAAACTGGGTTGATTTAATCAATATATATTATGTACTGGGTTGAATTAGGCACATTGTTTACTTGGGTGAATTCATGGTTTTAGTATAAAATGTTACTCGACGACCCCACATAACCACTGATCAATATTACACGTACAATATATATATCAACGTGGTAAATCCAAGGTTACGTGCACTACTTGTATCACCGCTAGATCATGTTCAGGAGTCAAGGTCTAGCTACAAGGACAAGCTTGTTGTGCCCATGTTTAACGTGAAGTAGATAGTAACTAGTAAAAAGCAGTGGCGGACCCAGGGGTGTTGCCCTAGTTGCCCGGGCAACACCTTTTTTCTGTGTCCAAAAATAATCTGGACTTAGGTTTTTAAAGATTTTCCTCTTTTTCATATGGGATTTTATCCTAATATCAAACATCCTGTGAACTATGATTTTCTATATATAATGGTGCAGTTGCCCAAACAAGGAGTCCACTACTTATACTCTAAAAAAATATGGGGGTTATAATCCTCTTTTGTTTATATATTAGTAGGTTCTCCAGTCAGGTCAGTGGTGAAGGCTCAACGGACTGTCTACCTAATCGTATTGTTCTAATGTCACGGTGTGGTGATCACGCTGTCCGCTGAGAGAGGATAACACCATCTGTTGGAATTAGGTATATTTGTTAATTGTTATTTCAAAGGTAGAGTGCATTTCATGATAGATCAACCTGTATTTTCACCTGTGGTTTCACGTACACATGATCACCAGGAGTGATTTATTATACCTGTTAAAAAATGTAAATTTCAAATATTTCAAAGACAATAAATCATCACGTTATCAGGTGAATAATAACCAATGTTAGCATAAAAGGCTTGCATGTATATATATATCCTTTTTAACAGGTGTTGCCCTTGTACATATGCATGCATACAAATTCACAATAAAAGACGAACAGTCAAATCATAATTCATATTGATGACAAAATAAATTCATATTTAATTGCCAAAATGCTCGCCTAAACTACATGCACATGAAAGGCATGACACAAACAACAACATTTTTACCAAAAACCTACATTTTTACTATTGCGTCGCACGCATGGAATATCAGAGAAAGTGTTTTTCTCCTGCCCACGCAACTCAAACAACCCAGTTGGAGTATAAAATGGCCTGGGGGGGATGTTGCGGTATCTGTGCTGTAACATTCAAGTGAGGTGGTACTATAAATGATACCGTTGGAAGCACGGTCCCACTACAAATAGAACACAATAGATCTCCAGCACACATGCAGGCATACACACATAGGGAGATATTAGCAAGGTGGCATAGGACTAGTAGTTAGCGCTTGATAAAGCAGCTCCTGCGAATTCCTCAAAATTGTATATCCTAATTGTATTAATTGTATATCTATGTACTGTAAAGCGCTTTAGAGTGACTTATGTTAGTTAGATAGGGCGCTATATCAAATGTTGTATATTATTATTATTATTATGATTGTTTCAGAGAATTTTTTAACACTCGCTCCTCTCGGCCATCATAAATATAAATACTTGAATAATACCGCAAACTCAGAAAACTGTTCTATTCACACAAGTCATTACAAGCAAGTGAGTACAAAGATGTTGCCAGGCTCCCGAAACTATAAAATAACACTACCTCTGGTCTCAGTTATAATTACACCGTGTTTATGTTTATATGAATGCTATTATATGTAATCTATCTGCCATAAAATCCGATCGTATTATACAGTGTATATTAGTCTGTCTGGGGACTACCGCTGTGACCATCCTTAGGTCACGTGGCTATACTTCCATCATTTTGAACACATCAATTTTCATGTGGTTTAGAATTGTAGATATAGTTATTGTTTCGAAAAGAGGTTTGAGATTCACGTTGGTTGAGAAATAATATACTCGATAAAACATTCTAACCGCGTTGTGCGATTTTGGTCAGCCATCTGATGATGTTCAAATCGCCCTTCGCCCGTGGTCTTTTGCCCGTCCTTCCGTTTTTGAAGAATTCTTCTTATTTCTCCGAAAGTACTGGATGAACTGTTCTCAAATTTTGCATGAAGGTTCCTTATAATACTTATATACACATATTAATTTTGGGATTGATGCTATCACTGTTTCTCAAGAAGTATTCTATAGATCTTTATCAAATTGTATGTTTTGATTTTCATTGGTCTCACGCTTTTCATGTTTCAGTTTTAGGCTGATCAGATAAACAAAATGTTCACAGGAAGCCATCTTGGATTTCGAAAGCTCCAGTGTGTTACAATGTACATGTATCACTTTTTCCAAATATAATAACATTATAAGTCGAAATCATGTTAAAAGAAATGGCATCAAACAAATAAAAAAGTAGAAGACAAACGTGAGATTGCCACCTAGTGCTATAATGGACTTTTGATAGCGAGGAGCTGGAGTGATGGTGAGCGAGGATACGATAACAAAATATAAGCAGGTTTTATCTAAAATCAAAAACAAATACTTGTGAACACTATAAAAAAGTCATAAATTGATAGTTTATGAAAGAGAGTGAGGGGTATGGAAGCTATGAAAGAGAGTGAGGGGTATGGAAGCCCTCCTACGAGAGGACACGATTTGTTACTTTGTAACATGCTGGTGAAAAAAACATATTATCCCCCCCCCCCCCAAAAAAAAACCCCACCCCGTGAGATTTAAAAATAGAAGTTGCTATACTTCCCACATTTTGAACAGATCAACAGTTTTCATGTGGTTTAGAATTGTAGATATAGTTATTGTTTCGAAAAGAGGTTTTAGATTTGCATTATAAATATACAAAATTCTCGTTTTGGCTGAAGGTCAATGCAGTCTAATAAATGCTAGTAAATAGTTCCAACGACAACCTCAATCTAAAATAACAATGTCATACACAGTAGTACAAGATTTTATCACAAGGTCAATTTACTGTTTACACGACTCAATCAAGCATATCGGAGAACAAAATACAGAAGAACAATCTTATGTAGAACCTATAACGATGGTACGATGGTAGGTGGTACGATCGCACTCGGATCTCTTTATTTCTGTTTGTTTCTGAATTGCTTTAAGGCCTATCGAACTTAAAGTCATTTTAGGCCAGGCAATGCTAAAAAAAACCTCAGAAACACTAATGTATGAAAGGTATAGAAATACATTGTTTAGGAGATGACGCACGTTTTGAAAATATTTTGTTTGACATGATTTTTTAATCTCGAAAATGTTATATATACAAAAATGTAATAATTTCCCGTTTGATTCACTCGTTTGGCAGAATATTTAAAAACTACCACACAAAGAATCAATTACACCTCATATATCTACTGTAGTTCCCATTGGTTAACGAGTGCAGTGTGAATCTTAAGGTTTAATGAGATTGGCATTCTCTATACAGAGTATTTCATTCAGGTTAGGACTCCATGTTTATAATGTATGCATGTGTGCCAGAGACCATATGTTTATGTATTTGCCTCCTTGCTATTCCGTTTTTGCGTATTGCAGACTTATCTTCTCTTGAGAACAGGTATTGATTGTTACGTCATTGGTTTGTGTGAGAAAATTACGTCGTTTTCTCAAAAATTGATGACGTTACTCTCACAAACAAATGACGTAACAATCAATACCTGTTATCAAGAGAAGATAACTATGCAATACGCAAAGACGGAATAGATTAGATCTGATGACAACAATTCTAGAATGCAGACACTAAGCACCGTGTTCTAAGTCAGGTTACATTGACACCTGGTAAACCCTCAACGCTGCGCGTTTAGCAGAGAATAAAAAACACCACTTTTAAAGACCTTGGTATGACCTTCAGCACATCAGCGAACGTTCTGCAAAAAAGCCAAAAGTGCTCTTTCGATAGCTTGACTTGGAATTAAACGTCCTCGAAACAGCTAAGGTCAGACTAAGACGCCAAAAATAAATTGATCCCATAGCAGACGATAAGAATAATAAAGATAGAGAATAGAAATACAAGCAAAAGAAAGATTGGACAAAAGGATTGTTACTGTCGTAATTGGGCGCGTTACGCTAGTGCCATCATATATATTATTAATGTGCCCCAATGACACAAAAGACAATCCCTGGTATAAAAAGAACGGATTAATTGCTCTCTGTCTGGTCCTTTTCTCTATAGACTTTATCTCTACAGCACAGCTCTCAGGTTCCTGGAAACGCGCAAGCTTCCCGACGACAGCAATGCAAAAAACAAAATTGCTTGAAAGTTGAAAATGGCTCAGATTTTGTTTTATTGGTACGTACATATTCATTGCTTATTCTGTTAAATATTTGTTTAATTGATATGTCATGTGATCCTGCAAATAGCTGATGAGCTTCCGTTCAATTAAATCTATAAAACTCGTCTGCAAATCAAAACATTGTAAACTTGTTGTCATTAAAAATAAAGTCTTAATTGAATTGTAGCCAAATTTGTCTCACGCTCGTGTAGAATAAAAGTAGGACATTCATTAAGCGCTCAACATCAGGGCACGTAGCGGATGTTGTTCTTGTGGAGTGCTCTGGATGATTGTATCCATGCAAACCACTCAAGTTTGTGATTATTCTACCTTCAAATCTCATTTCATTAATTTGAAGTAAAACAACGAAAAAGCATAAAACACGAAAGATTATTATAGTGATGAGAATTTCTAAAAGTTTTCACGTTTGAGATTCGAAAATTTTCGCCAAATAACACCGTCATTTTATCAGGAGCTTTGTCAAAACTGTATAGGATCTCAGTTCAGTTTTTTGATATATGAAAAGTGTAACCACATGTAGTCTAAAACGGGTTGATAAAAGCGGCATTTTCCTTCGTCCTATCTCAATGCAGAAAATATAAGAAAAGATCATGTAAACTCTAAATTTGTTTATTGCTTTTTGTTTTAAATAGCGTTCATGTTTATAGGTTTCCTGTGCAACTGTACACCACACGGACTCACGACGCTTAAAGCATCAGTTCAATGTTTCATGTAATAGTTTTAGACCTCATTTCAATGTCACTTTGTTCCAAGTAGCTGTTCATCGTTACCGTTTTTCTAACACCAAATGCATTGTTACGCGAAGCATGTTTCAAGCACACGAGTAAATAAACACACAAACAATAAAAAATAGGAATGAATGTTAACTATACGAGTCTGGTTAAAGGAAAATAATTATGCATTTCTGAACTACATCTGTAGTTTATGTATCGCGAATGTTTTTTAAATTTACTAAATTATCACACACAAATTACTCTTTTAAATGTATGCATACGATAAATATATTCCTGTGAATTTGAATCTACGTTCGATTCTTAACTCGACATACCACGAAAATATGTGACACACCAAATATACGTCATTTACAGTAATTTAGCAGAGTAACATACATTCGCCGTACTAGCACACCGCCATGGTAGGTAAGTAGATCTTCAGGGAATAGCTCTTTGATGTGTTATTATTATTACAGTAAAATATATTGCCGTATGTTCTAGAGAAACATTTTATTTATAATTTGAATACTGATGAAACTAACGATAGAATGTTAGAATATTTTAGGTAATAAGAATGGAAGCGTTCGATTCGAGAGAAAAAACACCCTATAATATAAATGTTACAACTAGTCGTGTAAGTTTGTGTGTGTTGACTCGGGAATCAAACGTTCCGGCAGGTTAGAGATGTTGTTTCTACAGACAAAATTCAACTCTACGTAAAGTACGTTTATCGCTGCTTGTTGTACTTCCGGGTAGTTGTCACAAAATTCAACTCTACGTAAAGTATGTTTATCACTGCTTGTTGTACTTCCGGGTAGTTGTCACAAAATTCAACTCTACGAAAAGTTTGTATATCACTGCTTGTTGTACTTCCGGGTAGTTGTCACGCCTCCTGACGTCATCGTCTGAAAGACAATAAATAAAACTGATGTTATTGCAGAACTAAAGGCACGTTGGTATCCGTTTGACAGATTCTTTCTTATTGTACACAACTACACAATGAAACTATACAACCGACCTGAACTAATCTGGTAATATAGCAACATCCAAACGTGTTCTATTTGACAGAACTATACTAATTTTTGACATTTGCTTCTCACATGTCATGAAGGTAACTACAGACATTGTGATGTAAACTTCGGAATCATAAAAAAAACAATTATTTAAACGTGGAACATTGATAATACTGGAGGGTAAGCGTCGTCTGCTTGTAAAGATAGAGACCGATTAATGATATACAAGGCACACCTATGTGAATGATCAAAAGGTCCATTTGCACAAAGAAATCGAACATTGCTCCAAAAATCTAGATGGCAACGAAAACGTTGACTGAGAATGATGAAACCTAAAGCAGTTATCGAAAATAGATATATTGGATACTACGAATGCTTTGTTTTTCTCGTGTGTTCCTAATATAGAAACTATAATATTGGCGATTTCAGGTCTGATATGGTGATTCGTGACCGGTCTTTGTTATGAACGAATGTTATTGGTTCGGTGCGTTTGGGCAACGCTTAAGACAAATAAGTAGGGCTGAACATTAACTGGATGCGATCCCCATTCTCTACCTATTTAAAGAGAACTGAAAACGCACATTTTAAGTGAGTGCTTATATAAAAGTTTCATCTATGTTCATGTCGAACTGCTTTCAAATTTTCCTCCTGATTAATTCCAAAACAAACTAACGGTATACATTGACCAGTATTTAAATGAAAACTATAATCAACCTGAATATTAAAATTTAGTTCTGTGTAACTTTTATAATATCAACAAGATTTACATTTTGTATAGCAGTTTCTGTGTGATAGTGATTTCACTTGCCAGAATATTGACTATTATACGACTGCAGTTCATTTTCATATAGGTGCAATCGTTAATATGTGTCATAAATCTACAAAGAAACCAGTGTATATAGAGTGACAAATGTTTCTGTTAATCTGTAAGACGTTAACACACCATGATCATCTCTGATCCGGACACTGATCTAGTGTTGGTGGACGTGTAAGCTCCGGTCTGACTCTCCACCAGACTGTTCCCGTCGATAGTATACGTCACCTGCCAATGATCAAAGGAAAAAAGCTTTTAAGCTTGAGATTGTTAATTGCTATATTGCACGACACTAATGAAACGTATTGTATAAAGACATTGACTCAAAATATGAGTCATTTTCTGATTTTAAAGCATTATTACAGTTATATTACATATTCCAACAAAAAAAAATCGGCCCTACAGAAATTATTTTTGTTTTGCTGAAGTATGATGTGGAGATACCAATTTGAGTAAAAAATAATTAAAGAATAACGTTAAGTTAAAACTGTCAGGATCATGAGTTGATCATTCCTAGTCCGAGTTTCAGTTGAATCAACCTATCAGAACGTGATTTTAAAGTTTGAAAGTTTTCAAAATGGCGACCGTGGCGGCCCAGTAAAACATGACATTAAGTTGTTTTTTTTTTTTTTTTTTTTTTTTTTTTTTTTTTTTTTTTTTTAAAAAAGGCTGCCTCGGCGCGCATATTTGATTTCTGATCGACCCGAAAAGTAACAATACTTTGTCCGGACAATGAGTTGATAATTTCTACTAAGTTTCAGGTAAATCGGCTCAGTAGAATTGGACTCTAAGTTTGAACAAGTTTTTCAAAATGGCGGCCATGACGGACATATTGGATTTCTAATCGACCCGAAAATAACAACACTTGGTCAGGGAGATGTCAGTAACATTCAAATGAAGTATCAATGAAATCCCTTCGACAGTATTTCAGCTTAAGTTGAAAATGTAAAATGTTAACGAACGACGCACGACGGACGACGACGGACAAAGACCGATACCAATAGGTCACTTGAGCTAAAGCTCAGATGACCTAAAATGTGCATAAACTTTTATGAAACGTAAAAACATAACAGTCAACAGCTTAACGTCATCGCAACTGCTATGGTCATAATGCCTTGACACTTCCAAAGTGACGTAGTAAATGGGAAAGAAAACAAAGACAGAAATCAAATGTGTTGCAACTTTGACAGCAGGTCAATGTTGGTTTCTCTTATGTCCCAAAAGCAGGACAGGAAAAACCCTATTCTGCATGGACACAACATAACTCGGCTCATACACACAAGCAGTAATGAAACCTACATAGGGATCAAGTTCAAAGACTAAACTGAATGCAATCTAACATACCGCTATGGTGATTGGTAAGTAGAACTCGTAGGCGAATTCGTGTTTGTTTCCCCCTGCTCGCAGGACATTGTATGGCTGAAGTTTATGTTATGACTGACCTAACAGAACTATTGTCGAGGTTTGATGAAGACGTACGTAGCCAAAGACTTAACAACATGTTTGTACATACTGATTGATTATTAAGGATTAACACATAGCACAAAGAAATTTTAAGATACAGTTACAACATGGAACCCAGTTCACCCATTAAAATCGGATATGTGTTTGCTGGTTAATAGCTTAACAGCCCAGCAATAGCTTAGTCATAGCATACCAGATATCTAGATATATAACTAAAAACGACAAAAGAAAATAAATGAAACAAACTTGAAATCTGCATGCACAAATATAAACTATGTTAAAAAGATGTCTGATGGAAGAGATGAGATTCACATAAAAAACCTCTTGACAAACGGATATTGCAGAACTATGTTTTGATGTCAGGTACGCTTATTATACGCACGATCGGTCCGTGTGTCAAGGTCACATGATCTTTAGGTGAAAAGTAAAAGTGCTGATCCCTTTGGTGATGTAAATATTTGGCATTGCGTTTGTGCATGGCGTATGTAATTAAAATTATTTTTAAGAGAGTTACGAAAAGGAAACCGATTTACAAATCAGAATTGAGCAGCCTCTTTATTCATGTGTAAATATGCAGGCATCATTTAAACCATTGGACTTGCCTTTATGCAAGCGCAAATCAACTTTGATTTAAAAAGAACCATTTCAGGAGTGTCATACAGACAAACGGCTGATGAATAGAAGGATATACCGACGTAAGTACCTCTTGTTTCTGAGAAGCAGGGGCGAAAAACCAATCAAAATGCATCATTAATGTCTCAATTTATCATGCTCAGGGATTGATATTGTCTACGTTATTTTATGCAATTAGGGCCGAAACCCGATGTGTGTTGCCAACTTTTCTTTAACATCGTATCTTGAAAGGTCGCCAGAAGTAAAATATCAAATTAATCATATTTATTGCGTAAAAATAAAATAATAATAATAATAATTCGAGGTTCTTATATACCGCTTTATCACAACCTACAGTGTAGTTCTTAGGTCGTCTCAAAGCGTCACAAAATATTATCCGTGGTTATAGAGCCTTTGCAACCAGCCAATATATTTCTAAACTCCATGGGCAGCATACAGCCGGTACTGCCATTTCGGCGCTCACAGCTAGCATTCAACAGTTCTAGCACTGCCCAGCCACGAACTTAAGCGGCGTAAAGTATCTTGCTCAAGGATACAACACAGTGCCTCCATAATTTGATACAATACACCTTATAATGATTAATACGCCAACGGGGAGTGCGAATGTATCCGACACTCCCACGTCAATGCTGTACCTGGGGTAGCAAGATTTTCTACACCAGCATTTATCGTCGTATCACCGATGATAAAGCGGAGGTACAACTGATAACACTATCAGCTAGGTGTGTTGGCCGTTAAACTAATCCAGTGATACAGGACAGGTACACTGCTGTTAAATAGTCACTACTCACAATATCGCGACATACTATACCCCCACATTAGGCTGGTTTTCTTTATCTGGAGTATCAATCTTGTGCTATTGGTCAAGAATACCCTGTTAAAACCCGCCACGTACTATTGCTACAGTTACATATAGATATTCAGAAATCGTTCTGAATCATCTGATTATTCTATAGTTAGGACATTTCTGCATTACTAACACCAAAATAATCTAAAATAAGGCAAAGACAATACACAAACCCAACGTAGTCAAAATCGCAACAAACATTTAATAGCAAGGGCTAATGAAACACAAGCGAAATGGAACGACTGCAAAAAAAAAAAAAAAAAAAAAAAAAAAAAAAAAAAAAAAAAGNTGGGGATTGTATATGATCCATGCATTGCTAGAAAATAAGGAATCCCAACACGGGTATAACTAGAGTGAATTGCTGCTTTGTTTTGTTTTACCTCTGTAAAACACTGTGATAACAGTGTAATAAATAAAACGCGCCACAAAGGAGAGCAGGTGAATGCAGAGTCAGCACAAAACACCTAGTGTAGAGGATAGTAAATCAAGCTCTACTGAATGGTAGGTATTTTATATGTAGGACACACGACATCCGTCAACCTATGTACTATTAACTACTTAACTGACGACGTTGTAATGGAGTCTTCACTACCGAGTAACACGTTATGTAATACAAGTTAGCTGTTGACAGCTGACTGATTTACGTACTCCTGACAGCAAAGCGCACAAGGTAACAATATCCACAGACGGTGGAGCAAATCAAGAGCCACTTTGAAGTATTAACGGACTATTTTTGCTTTACTTCGTAGCAATAGCGTCACTCCCGAACCGGTGATAGTATTGTGACTTTAGGCTCATTAATGCATTACATAAAGAAAAAATAGATCAGAGAAAAAATAGCTAATCAAATTGTTGTAATAGAGGCAATCCGGTTTCCTTCCATTTTCGTATTTGCAATCGGGCCAACAAGAGTGATACATATAAACTGACGTAACTTGTTTGATAATTATTGTACAGTATTTATATTTAATTGAGGCAGAAGGTCAGTTGATTCCTCTTCAATGTCCCCAACATGATATTACAGATAGAAAACACCGGTTCTGCCAGGGGTTCATCATTTATTCAATAATCATGCTGTCGGATACAGATGCCTTACTTCACTCAACGTAAAGGGGTAGTGTTCAGCCGATACCAATACATGATATTATGTATAAGATTTAAATTACAAATGTTACGCAATTAAAATGTATGACATCAAGAACCAGCGACAATATTCACACTAAAAGTCGATACAAGGAGCCAACTTGTGGGATGGAAAAGAGGCCAAAACATCAGGAGAGACATCTTGAACCATAAAAAGTGGAATACAACTAACTGCTCGGTAAGGACAAGACTTTTCTTCACCATATTTGTTTTATGTCAACTGTAAAAACAACACATAATGGGCCCATATTTATTATTTCAGTCAAAAATGAACACCACATATATTATCCCCAAACCGCATGTCACACCTGTCATAATATCCCCCGTCTCATCACCACATGCGACACCTGTTATGACCCCCGTCAAATAACCACATGTGGTGTTCGTTTTAATGTCTTCTGTTACATCATTGCATGTTGCACTGTCATGTTTCAAGTCAACTCCCCACATGTGGTGACGGTAATCATCATAACAGGCCCAATATATTTCACGTCAAACCCGGAGAGCAAACAGTAACATTTAAGACGACTTCAGAATTTAAATCTATAATAAACCATACTAATTCCAAAATTGCAAGCTCATTGATTTAAATTAACTCATCAACACTATTGATAACTCGCATATAACTGTAAAGGGTAGAACACCAGTACAGTCAATTACACCATTATGACAATGTACCAAGATGTAATATGATCGTACCTTTAAATCCCGTCCGTCCATTGATTTCTGGTCCGCCTCCTGCCCAATGGTTGCCTTGCTCTCGGTACTTCCGAGTGGCGTTGTGGTTTTGATGGTGACAGAAGTGCCGTCAATTGTGATTTCCTGTACTATGTTGTGGTCAGCAGATAATCCTTGTAATCCCCTCTGTTTATCTTCTCCTGATGCACCTTGATGATGTACAATCATATAAAAATATTTTTGTTGTAAACGTAAGAAATCTGTCATGTTATCATTGTATACAAAAGTACGTATTCATCATTCCAGCGTCACAGCATCCATTTCTCTTTTAAAATCATGCTTAGAACACGCATTTGAAAACACCTAGTCTGGCTGGAAGGTTCCAATTGTTCATTTGAAACGTCATGACTACATGGTATAACTGACAAAAAATGTTCATTGTGACGTCACAAAAAGGAAAGCCTTTGATGCAAAAAGTCAATGTTCTAGATATGAAGTGAGCCGGAGAAATGTTGTTCGGACGCATATAATCGCATTTGCTTTTGTTTCATATGAGATTATTGAAACTCGACAAGCCACACATAAAGCTCGCTTTAAAAAAATGTAAGTCTCGTTTTCATAAATCTCATACGAAAGGTCGATACAGTTGTATTGCTGTTAGATATAATTGCTTTTATTTCTGTTATAATATCACACACATGAATAATTAATGAATTTATGCTTTCGAGGGAAACTGTACCACTGTGTGTACATTGTCTCAAATGTCTATACATTGAATTCGACCGTTTCGTTTTTATATGAAAATATAAAAACGCAATATTCAATTTCAAAATAATCTTGTTGGTGATTGATAGAGCAAACATTAACAGAATTAATTTAGCATATATAAATAACAACAAGAACTTGACAAATATTTGAAGGTTAAACATTATAAATTACCATTTTACATAGGAGAAATCGTTTTTCCTGTCCACATAATTGTAATATTTCTGTGAGATGCCTTTCCTGGTTAACAAATCCCAAGTTTTGTTTTGGAGATATTATACATTTTGAACACTCCAGTGATATACTGAAATCTGATCCTCAGGGCCTAAATGGGGCTCTCATGATCAACCAGTAGCATAACAAATATTATTTTCCTCAGATTCCCTGAATAAGAGATCAATACAGACCTATGGCATCAAGATAGGGAGCAAAATTGTCGACGCTTGCAAGTTTCCATTTTCCATTGAGAACCGCCATTGTTGCCCGTCTGCTAACCTTCTGTACAGCAGTACTATAAAGTCAGGTAAACTTCGTGTCCTCCTTATATTGAGAGCTCCTTTATCAAACAGCATGCAAATCGCTTATCGTGCCAAGTTGTGTCATAAAAGGTTAAGTTGATATTACGTCATGTGGTTGAGTGTTGACCAATCAAAAAGCCTTATTCGTAGTAAATGTTAACAAAGAAAACCTTGATTTTTGTGTTCCTGTTTGTACATGTGATGAGCATGGCGGCCGTCGGCGAGCTCATTGATCATGGATATTGATTTAACATTGTCCTTATTGTCATTGATAACATCAAATGTTCTACTACAGGTTTTCTTTCATATGATACTTTTTGAAAAATTAAAGAATGTATAGTTGTATTTTTAATTCAACAGAAAATTATCACATGAAATACAACACACTTTTATCCGTTATTAAAAGAACATGTACTTAAAGATATATTAGAAAACTGCCTATAGTTTCATATTCAGATTCAATTCTTGTGTAACCGATGCAGGCTAGGTGTTAGCATATACTTGCTTTATCCAACTGAACGGTTTTCAGGGGAGACTGGTTGCATTGTTTAAAAATGAGACTCATTTTACTCATTATACAGAGGTTGAAGATATGAACTACCTGTTGTTGTAGCAATGTGTCTTATATATATTTTATGAAGAAAAAAGTAAGGGTGTCGACAATTACTAAAACTTTGAGATTACATATCTCATTTTGTGCAGCTTCACATGGTGATATTTATCTACGGAATGACAGAAATGGTCACCTCATTTCCAAACCGTAACGTTACGGCTTATTCAATATAACTATCATTAATCCCTAATGTCTCGGTAAGTTCACTGAGTGAACATTGTATAATTGTTCACTATTTTAGGTAAATGTTTAATTCCTTAATTTCGATATAGGTAAAGATAGCCAGTCTAATCAAAACCAGCTTTTGATTACTTATATAATAATCCAGATAAAGTCAACATTGGTTGTTTAAAGATAACAGCTAACCTCAGACATACTCACCTCTATGCGAACTTATGGAATTGTGAAGGAAGACTTGGATGAATTATTTAATGCGGTGGCCTTCAAAAACGTCTCCTGATTTAATTACAATGCAGAAGTAGAAAATTAGAAAATTTCACTAGATAAAGGAGATTGTTCACAATATTGTCAAGTTTGCATCAGATCCGCGTTATCACAAGGAGGTTAATACACTAACATACCCTGCCTCAAGCGCACGTACACACATGCATACATGTACATACATAGCACACATGGATGCACGTTCAAAAATGACTCGAGCTGTTGTTAGGACATTAAACCATGTACGTACACGTGTACTCGTAGATACAATGTAACAGTATATAGACGATGTGCTCACCGTTTGTTCAAATATATTATACTACATTAGCAGTTGCGAGGACGCAAAACCCAAAACAGTTTCTTACACTTAAACAAGATTTTTCACACACGTCAACAGAGTTTGGGTCACCGACCGAGGTGCATGCACGTTTGGTTTGGTGTGTCTCTGATCAGGATAAAGTAAAAATGATTATGCTATTTTATATAATTCATATCTCATCAAAATTACATTGAAAAGTTTCATTATACCTGTGACTTTTCCTATCCATATTTTTGCGTTAACTATGGTGGCTGATATATGACATTTCGTCTTTTCGCTTTGTCGCCCGCGAAATAGCGCCAAGCGAAATAACGAAATAACGAAATAACGCCAAAGCGCCAAAGCGAAAAGACGAAATAACGCCAAAGCGCCAAAGCGAAATAACGAAATAACGCCAAACCGAAGTGAAAATAACGCCAAAGCGAAGAGATAAAATGGCGTCTTTTCTCCCTCCTTTTGGCGTTATTTCGTTATTTATTTCGGAGTTTCATTTCCTGAATTCCGGAACCTTAACCTAAAGAATTATATTATTTGCTGCATTGAACTCTATATCTCCGACAATTGTTCTCCCGATATCGCACAGGTGACGCTTTCTTGCTGTTGTGATACTCTGCAAAGAACATTTATTGTACAGTCTAGATTAGCCTTCCGTCATTCCGGCTGCTAGTCGTTTTTACTTAATTTAAGCCGTCAACTGTTCTCAATTTCTGAAGGGTTAGAACTAGGTCTACTTTAATGATATGAAAATAATCTTTAATTGAGTTTACGTACTTAGAGAATTTAAAAGTCAAATTTCTCAAGGAAGACTAACCATATTTTTATGGTAGCTCCGGGTTCGAGTCCCGGTCCGAATTTGTTTCACCTGCTACAGTTTACTGTCGAACTTGAGGGTCATGCTATATTCTTTAAATAATAAAACTCAAAAGTATTTAAGTTAAGAAACTGTTATAACAAACCTGAAAATTTCTCCACGCCCTATGACGTATGAAGGATTTCAAATTAGGGATGTAGACCTATCAAATTCAAAGCCGTAGGATTTAACTGGGCAAGTATTTCGCAATCTGCCATTTGTTTTATTTTCTTGTTGAGTATTGGGAATTCACGGGTACGTATCCGATATAAAAAAAAAACACATTAATACAAAAGGTCATAAATTTGTTGAGGTAGAGAATTTAATTTACTTCATTGTACATACTATGAGTCATGAATCCATTAATCTGTCCAATCAGCTCTTTCGTGTCTAGACGTCTGCCCTTCTTGTGTATGATGTATGTGTATTTGAAGTCCCATTGACACTACACACACTTCAGTGATCAAGGTTGAATTTTAACATGAGTATTGACTGTACCTTAACAATTTGTTCAAGGTTTTACGAGTGCTTTGTACTACATGTATAATCCGATTATAATAAAATATAAAATATTGAGCAAACATATTTTTCAGTTAAGTGGCAATACATCTCTAGTGGCACAAAGGGATATGGCGGTAAATATGCCAAATAAAATTATTACATAATGCGGTTTCTCTCGCGACAGATGTCATTTTCACAAGTAATGGCTGATACATTCTATATAACTATTTTGTATGACACTCTTAAGATAAATATTCGAACAAAATTAATGTAAAACACCAGTTGTTACTTGCTTTGTTAACATACATAACATTATTAGATGTTGTCCTGTTTGATCTCTCATCATAACACTCGCATGCGTACTATACACTTTACACTAATTGTTATTATCCCCATTATATTCATGCAACAATTCTCCGTTGCCGGGTAGGGCGCGTGGTGACCGGGAAGTTTGGCGGTTAATGTTTGGTTTCAGAACAGTATACGTAGTCACACCTTAAATTATATTACCAAACAAACATTCGGTGTTTGATGTTCTTCTACATTCTGCCATTAGTGCTGTAAACTAGTTTAAGAAGTGCGTAATTAAGACATGACAAAACGATTCGAATTTGTGCAAAACATTCCTTCATTTTACATCTTTCTTCTTTCTCGCTGTTTTACTCTTTCTTTTCGGCGGTGACTACTCAGGTACTTGTCTTCATATGACGTTAATTACCAAACAAACAAACAAACAAACAAAACCTTCTTTTAATAGAGAGACGATTGGGGAAAGGATCAGCTCAAAGTGTACCTAAAACTATGTAATCAAACATACACAGTACAACTATATTAAAACTCAATGTGTATGATGCCGATAATAATTGCCCAACTCGATAAACAAACTCAATACCGATTACAATTAAAATCTTGAAATATGAAGGGAATTAGTTTAGCGATTAATTCTATGAACATTTCTGCGTGTTTTAATTAGTGTGCGGGGCCTGAATACATGCTGCAGGTAAATAGTTAGATTTGGTTTGGTGCTATTGTGTTAAACGTCGTTTTAATAACAAAGTATTTAAGGACGTGCCACCCTGTGAGTAATGTATTCATGCTTTTGTGTATGTGTGCTTGAGTCAGGTTATTTTGATGCATTTGCCTCCATGCGATAGCACGGATCTGATGACGACACCAGAGTGCTACGTCACTGAAATCCTATGCCGAATGCACCCAGCACGGTATTTCATCCAGTCACATTATACTGACAACGGGTAAACCAGTTGTTGTGCTAAGCTGAACTGCTGATGATAAAGCTGGTTATGGTAACTACCATTTTTAAGGACTTCGGTATGTTTCGACTACTCCACTCGAGCGAACGTTCATCACTAAGCCCGAATGGGATGTATTGTCAAGCCAGGCGCTAGAAAACTGAATATCATTATTGGATTTTTAACGACCCGTCAACAAAAAAGAGTTCATAAGGGCAAATAAATAGCACATAACACACGTTAAATGAAATAACATCAAGCAAACAGTGGCGGATCCAGATACCTATCTGGGGGGGTTTCCAAATTTCCTGGGGGGGGGGGTTCCATGTGGGGAAAAATTGAGGGATATGGTGAAAATACATGATTTTTAAAGAAAATTCTCGGGGTGGGGGGGTTTCCTGAAGCCCAAAAACCCCCTCTGGATCCGCCACTGGCAAACGAAAAGGATAAAGACAAAGGTCAACTTTGAAGAGTAAAAGTGTTTACTGTTTCAAACAGAGATTTGAGACTGGGAAACTAACAGATTTTCAGTAAGTAGAGAGAAAATATAAAGATTCAATATGTTATTAATTGTGGTTTCTTCAATAAATAATTGTAAATAAAACCACCTGCATTGAAAGTATACTATATTGTAAATGTAGTAGCACTATTGGACAATTCGTATGGGCACTTAACACAGTTCCAATCTTGTGTGTACCTGCCAGCTGATGGATGAGGACAGGGGTCAATATGTCAGGAGATAAAAGTCCTGAATGCATAGTACTATGTAGTTGCTCCGGAAAATACACAGACGTGTACACCTGGGTGGACCGAGATTAGACAAGCTGACTCACGACCGTCTGCTCAGTGCTGAACATGTCATCGCAAGCTTGTCCAGTCGGAACACCTCGGCCGACTTACTTCAGTCATAAAAGGTACTCATTCGGAACACCTCGCCCCGATTCCAGTTCCTTCCAACGTAGATGACCGTATCGGCCGAGAAGTTCCGAGTGAAAAGGTACTGTAATCGGGGCGAGCTGTTCCGAATGGTCCTCTACCCAACGAGCTCGAGTAAGCACTATATCAGACAAGCTATTTAGCTACACGTTGGAGTA